CGACATTAGCCTAGGGAGTACAGAAAAGTACATGTAGTATGTTAAACCACATTTCATTTATTCATTCATTTTATTTCTAATTAAAAGCTGTCTTTAATTTCAAACTGAAAGTCATAATGTTTCTTTAATTTATAATTGAAAGTCATAATGTTTCTTTAATTTATAATTGAAAGTGATACTCACACTGTTTCTTTAATTTATAATTGAAAGTGATACTGTCTCTTTAATTTATAACTGAAAGTCATACTCACACTGTTTCTTTAATTTATAATTGAAAGTGAGACTGTCTCTTTAAGTTCTAACTGAATGTCATACTCATACTGTTTCTTTAATTTATAATTGAAAGTGATACTGTCTCTTTAATTTCTAACTGAAAGTCATACTGTTTCTTTAATTTATATTTGAAAGTGATACTGTCTCTTTAATATCTAACTGAAAGTCCTTCTGTTTCTCTAATTTATAATTGAAAGAGTTACTTTCTCTTTAATTTCTTACTAAAAGTCCTTCTGTTTCTTTAATTTATAATTGAAAGAGTTACTTTCTCTTTAATTTCTTACTAAAAGTCCTTCTGTTTCTCTAATTTATAATTGAAAGAGTTACTTTCTCTTTAATTTCTTACTAAAAGTCCTTCTGTTTCTTTAATTTATAATTGAAAGTGATGCTGTCTCTTTTAATTTCTAAGTGAAGTCATACTGTCTCTTTAAATTGAATCCCAACTGGAAGGCAACCAAATATTGCTTTAAGCCGTCTATTGTCTAAGGTGGGGTGACATTTGGCTTAATCCTGTCTGGATAAAATCGACAAAATTTAGGTTAAATACTTGGATAAGGCACACACCGAGACTGGATAATCAGTGCTTGTTTATATTGTTCATATTTCAAGTACTTTTGGTGAAGTCATTGTGTCTCTGTCCTTTATACATGTATGAGGTGATCAATGTTTATAAGAGACAGCCCTACACATGCTTTATGGACTTATTATTAGTTTGACAAGAGACAGGTCTTATTGGAATAGTAAACGGTAAAAACTTGAGTTTGGCCTGATGTTAAATGTTAGAGACTGTGTGTATTTTGCTTTATATTCATCATGATTCATCTTTTAAAACTATTTTATTTTATTTTTTTTCACATTTACTGTATGTAAAGATCATATTTATTTCAATTGAGTATATTTCATTCCTTTTTGATTAAATGGAACTGTTGATTACTATATGAAAATATTGTTTGTGCTCAATTGTTGAAACTATATCCTGGAGTGGTTTAATGAATAGCAAGTTAGTGGCAAGAAATTATGCCTTGTTGATGAATGGAATGAAAAGCCAAGGTCCCTCTTGGTGGATACTAAAAAAAAAAACCCTTCTTATTTGGAATTTAAAGAATAGTAAGTGGAACCACTGCTGTTTGGCTGGGCAAAGTTTTCTCCTTCATATTACACCTGTACACATAAAAACAACATTTGTCATGTGTTAGTCTCGTTATGACAGTTGTCACTTTCATTATATACTTATTTATTTCTAGGTGATTAGAAATATACTTTTAATTACACTTAATTAAGTTCTCGGGTTGCAGTAAATGACCTACTTAACTTTGGAGAAACATATATTTAATAAGCATTATAGAAAATGAATTATATAATCAACCCATGGATTAAATTTGAGTGACTGGTGTAGTGATAAAACTGAGTTAAAATGCTTCCAACATCTATGAAATGCCTATCTTGTTTATCTGACGTGACAGATGTCAAACTGGAATATTTGAAATTTGTCTTGATACAGACTTGGATCAGTCAAATTCAGATATCTGATGACTGACTTTATTATGGGGACTTGGATCTACAAGTAAACTGTACTATGAAGAGGGTGTTCTAATAATAGTAAAAATGCCAGCAATTTTGACTAATTAATGATTTGAGTTGCTAATCATGATCATGGACTAAGATTAGAAATGGTTGAATTGGCTTGAAGTAGTGGTTAATGAAAGAAATAGGATTAATTTTTGAAAACACTGTGGTTTTATAATATCTGTAGAGATGTATTTTGTTCAAACACTTGAGTCAGCTGTTATATTTACATGATAAGATGAAAGGGTCGGGAGCCAGTAAGTAATCATTTGTCACCCTGTCTCTAAATTATGCTATTTTAGTGGATTGCATTCTGGTACAGTGTTTTTGATGTTCTATTTTATAAAGACAAATTGATGAAAAGCAATGGGTTGAGCTAACAACAGGACAGAGAAAGTTTCAAAACTCTGACAGCAGTAATGTGTATATGTTTATAGATCATCTGTATCCTGGTATTGTTGCTTTTCTTGTAACTAAAATATAATATTAAGATACTGGTACCATGTCAAACTGCTCCAAAGGTTTTACAATTACTTAGCATGGATTATTTTGAAACTGTTTCTTTTGAAATTAATAAAAATGTTACAAAAAGCCCCTTCCTATTATGGCCTTATAATTGTTCAATCTTAGAAAAACATAATATTATGACATTAATTGACAAGCATTGATAGGTGAGATAAGACACCAATATATATCTATATAGTAAATCCCTGTTATTATTAACAGCTGATATTATTATGTTATGATTGTATAAGCAGGTGGCACTGTAAATTTGGAATCAAGTAAATATATTCACTGATCATTTATACCAGCTATAGTAAGCAAGCATTTTTTATTGACTAGCCTAGTAAATTAAAGATATCTTTACACATTGGTGAGTTTTTACTAGAAATTCGATTTGATTGAAAACTAACAATTTTAAAACTCACATACTTACGATTTCAGGCACCACCGAGTAGAACAAACTGTTCAAATATCATTTAATTTTTCCCAACATGTTATACATATGGTGTACTCTCAAACGATGATCATATGTTGACCAAAAAAGGATTGGATTATTTTCACTGTCAGTTCATATTCATAATATATTTCAAATATATACATAATTAACGTATATTGAGTTCTGATTTTACGATGTGAATATTCCAAGTTATTATTTAAAGATTCGATTCAGTTTAAATGGTCAATGTTTTCAATGTGTTTTAGGCATTTTTTCAGATTTCTAGAAATCGTTAATCTTTCAAAATATATTTCAAATGTTTATTTTTTAATATTGATCGAACAGTTGAACAAAATTGCTTAGATAGGCCTTAAAAATAGTTAAAGGGAGTTGCTTTGTGAAGCGTGTAATTGGATATAGGTATTGTTGTTGATGACATAAACATAGAATACAATCAATATACCCATATGAAATGTAATGTATTACACAATGCACTGATAGTTTAATAATTATATAAAATATCTCTGTATTGATAAAAGTGTTGTTATTACTAGGTATTATTGTCTTGGTACATGTATTATATATACCACAGTATATATTGTGAATGTAATAGATTATAATACAGCTAGGATGTTACAAAGTTCAAATTGTTATGAAAGTAACTATATAGTGGTAGAAATCAGAAGATGGTCATACATACAAGTTCTACCCTTATTTATGTTTAAACACTCATTAGATATGAATAACAATAAAGTATAAATACAAACTTCCATCCCATCATAGATATCCCAGAAATATACATATAAAAAAATAAAAGATACAATGTATTATCCCCCCCCACCCCCTAAAAAAATAAAAACAAAACAAATACTATAATAACTATACACACTATTTATTTTGGATCTCTATCAAATAAAGACGTTGTTGTCTGATTCTTAGTTCCCAGCTCCCTTTCCTCATGTATGACAAGGAAATTAATATATACCATGTCAGTTCCCAGCTTGCTTTCCTTATATATATGACAAGGAAATTAATATATACCATGTCAGTACTGAACATCAAACCTAATTTCTTCATTCTTTTTTGACCATCACAAAGAGAGGAGACTATAGCCTCCTATGGCTATGAATAAATTACATTTGTATGGTATTAAATGTAAGGGGGGTTGGATGGCTGAATGGTTAGCGTGCGCGCGCTGTATCATAAAGTCTGTCATTGAGTCGACTGGCGTGGTTTCGAATCCCCGGTTGTATGTGGCAAGGAGTAGGGTCGCCTGTCCAACCTCGTGGGTTTTCTCCGGGTCCTCCGGTTTCCTCCCACTGCTAAAGACCCCTACGCGCAAGCGAATTATGTAAATAAAATTAAACCATATGTTAGTCCCGAAATGACCTAGTTTGTGTCGAGTGGACGTTAAACCCCATTTCTCTCTCTCTCTCGTATTAAATGTAGAAAAAAGGATGTCAATTTTGTAAAATAGGATATGAGTATATATACTGTTTGCATTCAATATAATATTGACATTTATATATAGAAAGGTGTATTTATACAAGAATTTAATGGTTTTCAATAATTGATTGTGCAATACTTATATCATATGAGTTTGAAATCCATATTATCACAATGTGTCCTGTGCAATAAATAGATCAAAAAAGATCTCATTATATATACTGTTTGAAAAGGTGTTGGTTTACTTTGATTTGTCAATAACTAGCTCACATGTTTAAGTTCAATATTGATATGGATGTATTGTAAACTCATATACAAAGTATAGGGAAATGATGAAATGGTCAGTGTGTGTTAGATTAGGGTTTTGTTTCTGATCTTTACTCGAGGGCTATGTGTTAAATCCTTTTTATCCTTGATAAAGATATTTTATCCCTGTATTTTTGACAACTGATGTAGTTGTGTACCGGTAGGAAAGTGTGAGGTAAATATAATGTAGCATAATGGAAATTCTAAATCATGCTGAGAAATTACCTCTAAAGGGAGGTATAAAACATAACATTGTGTTCTGTGTCTGGATGTGAGATATCGAGGCACTCCCAGATGTACATAAAATAACTCATGGTAGTTGGAGTTGGGAGAAAACTGGACATTGCCCATTTGACCAAAAAGTGGGAAAAAACTGCTCTTTGGACGAAATTCTCTCTCCCAAGCTTTGTAACAGATGTATTGTGTTGATGAAAAGTTATTTCTATCTTGTTTTATTTAATATTTACAGGTTGATGGGATGACTCGTGAAAATGGAACGAGTCTGGAGGCGGCCATTGATGATGTTGATGACTGTCATACCACGGACGCGGATAAAACGAAGGCTGCCATTGGCTACATTCAGTCCAAAATCAATAAAACTAAGGACATGATCAAACAGGAACAGTCAGTGAAAGAATGTATGTCAAATTTTAAAACCTTTTAAACATGGCCATTTCATGTGTATGAATATTGTTGTCACTCCTATCCGTCTATCTCTTTATATTTCTATAGTTCTGCCAATCAGAATTTTTCAGATTTATTTTCAAACATCAATAATTGTTGATTGCTCCTTACCTTAAGAATGGTTATACATACTTTCAGAATGTTGCTGGTGGGTGTGTATTCCTTGTCCTGGCAGTGTTATGTTTAAAATATCTAATTCATTTGTTAGTAATTGACCTCCTCTTGCGCTTATATTTATTTTTTCAAGGGAGCTGACCTTGTATTGAAATATCTAGATTACATTTAAGGCTAATGTGAATGACTCTATATATTTCACAGCTCTACAATAATAACGAATGAATATTTACATTTACAGCTAATGTGAATGAATATTTACGATTAGCCACAAGTGCTGACAAACAGCAGGCTCAAAGAATTAAAACAGTTTTTGAAAAACGAAACCAAAAATCAGCACAAAGCATCATCCAGATGCAGAAAAAATTAGAAAATCTTCAGAAGAAACAGGATGACATTGAGCAACATGGTGTCACCAGCCACAAACAGGCCAAGGAAATGTTACGCGATGTCGGACAAGGTCTCAAGTAAGTAAAGTGTAGTTGATACCTACGGTTGGCATCTACCCAACTAATATCCCATTCCATATATTCTATTTTTAGCTGGTAAAACCCCTCAAATCAATAACATGTTTGAATAAATGAAGTAGCAAATCAATTAGTCTTAGTTTGAATAATCAGTCAGCCTGTTATCATACTAAATTCTAAAAGAAAGTTTAAGCTCAGTTACTTGCAATAATCTTGAATAATATCCCTTACTGTAAGCAACTAATTTAAAAATTAGATGTTTCAAACATTGTATTTGGGAATATGGCGATTTGTAAGATTCAGTTGGCCAAACTTTGTTTTATATTTTTTTAGGGGTGTAGTTGACAGTGTGAAGGGAGCTAAAGAGTAAGTTGTTTTTTGCAATAATGTTATACTACTCACATCTGTTTGACCATTGGCACTTGGTACATGGAAATATTGACTATCCTGGATGTTTGAAAAATTAGATAAAAAAAAGAAATTAACCCTGGACAGCCTGAAGAAATGAGAAACTACTGCTCCCTGTACCACATCAAACCCCTTAAATCATGTGAACAGCATGTGAACAGCTCTGTTTATTTTAACACCATAATTTGAATACACCTAAATATATTTTAATGATATATTTTTATTGTTGAAAATGGAAGTCAAAGTGTAAATATATTTGTTTCATTGTTGAAAATTAAAGTGAAAGTGTATATATTTGCCATTAAATTTCAAAATGACATTCAGAGGTCATCTTCAAATTTTACAGGTCTATTGTGGCTAAACCTAAAGAATTTGCACATTTGATAAAAAATAAATTTGGTAGTGAAGGAAATATTAATCAAATCAGTAAGTATAACAGTTTACTATAAAATATAACATTTCTTATCCAAAATTTATGAATACAAGGACATAACTATGTTTTATTGTCTGAAAATGGGTATTTTGCAGAGTTTCTGTTATCCAGCATTTATCATTCTTTAATGGTACTATTTAAAATATTTGACTATCACAGCTTAATGTTGTGGTCTTGACAATATTGTGTGAAAGCAAGCAAAATATTAGCAGCGAGTGACAGCTTTGGTTGTTTAGCTTGCAAAATTAAATTCATACCCGACTTATTTGGTATCATTTGAATAACGTGATGACTTTAAGTGGCATGCTGACACTTATGATAGTTCAGCCATTTTCAAAAATGTAATAGCAAATCATAAAAAAACAAATTTGTTTCAGTAAATCATTTATTTCAACAAATTGACAAAAGTGAAAGTAGAATTTTGTTGTGAGCTTACGTTTCAATCAAGTCGGTAAAAATATGATTGGAACAATAATTTTACTGCATGCTGGTACAAAATACCAGTAAATTTTGAATGTAGCAGAAACACTGATTGAGTCTTCGACATTGAAAACATGTTGTGATCTTACCGGGAAAAGATGGGCTTCTGATATCCAATATTTAAAACAAAATAAACATTTGTAACAAGGGACTCGAAGAATGAGGCTAGACAGTGAAGACATATTCTTATCTGGAGAGCATGCACAATAATTACTATCGGTGTAGACTGGAATAACCAGAGGCTAGAGATTGCCATTCGATTGAGACTTCTAACGTATTTCGCCAAACAAAACGATTGAATGTAATCAGTTTATATACATTCATATTAGATTGTCATATGCATTGCGACCCATTTGTGTTAATTTCTAGGTCCCAAATAATAGCAATTGAGCTCCTTTAAGGTGTTACAAATGAATATAATGGAAATTAAAAGTTTAGTTGAATGATACATTTGATTTGGATTGATTTCATTACAAAGTGAAATTGGGTATGCCATGATTGGATTGCTAAGTAGATCACAAGGCCTGTCACCTATGCAAGTTACAAATTTGGTCAGATACCTTGTTTAGCTTCAAATTCTTGAAGTCCACTCAACATCAAATCCATGACTTGCATAGGTAACAGGTCTTATTATCTACAGTGCACATGTTTTAAACACTCAGCCACTTATATAATTGTAAATGTTATCAATATTGTATAGAAATGGAAGATAATGGTGAAAACAAAGACCAGAATAAAAGTGGTGGAACACTACCTGCCAGGTAGGATAGAATTATATTTTAATATAGCATATTCAATGTATTTATGTGATAATTGCATGCCTGAGCTCATGATAGACATTTTTAAACATTTGGTCTGATTGTTCATTTTTGGCCATCTAAAGTTTGCATTACTTTCTATCGATTTCAAGACGTTTCTCACATCTTTAGGAGTGTCACCTGTGAAATAATACATGTCTGGCTTTACTTAAGCTGTACTTATACTTCATTATTTTATATTTTCAGTTTTAAGTATGAGGATAACGAAGATGATAATTCTAGTATAACTTCCGGGTCTGGTTTTGGGGCTCAAAGTAGCCCTCATTCCACATCCCAAAATATCACACAAACCTCTCCATTAGCCCAAACCCTAATAGAACCTATACTACATGATATCTCTGATGTTAGAGAAGAGGGGAAAAAAATACAGGATACTATTCAACGAATTATAGAAGATTTCGAGGCTTATAGAGTAAGTTGTGATTTCATGCTTGTTGATAAGGTGTTGGGTGGGTGTATAGTTTCCCTTTCTCGCTTCATAATTTAAGAAATTGATGTGTGGCTGAATGTTCTCAAGCTGAGGGTCTCTTTTTGCTTGATGACTGGTTGGGTGGTGGAGTTTGTCTCCCTCTCTTACCTTTAGTGACTTGTTAAATCTGAGTGGCCTCTCTCTCATGCTTGATGATGAGTTAGTTGGTTTTTGTGGCAATATATGTTCTAAGATGGGTAGTAAGTCTTTCTGGTAATATATATATGTAAAAATATGTGCATCTTTTTAAAAATGAATTTTTTTTGACAAATACTGTTTTATTTTCAGAATTCAGCTCAGGCCGATATATCAATGTTACGTCATTTGTTAGATGAAGAAAAATACAAAATAGAAAGAATGGAAGACCAGATGAATGATTTAACAGAATTACACCAGAATGAAATAACTAATTTAAAACAGGTAATGTAACAACAAATTTAAAATAAGTAATAAAATGACAAACAAATCTAACTTAAAATGAGTAACAAAATAACTAATTTAAAACAAGTAATGGAATAACTTATTTAAAATAAATAATAAAATAAGTAGTTTTAATATGGTGAGTAACAAACAAAACTAACTTAAAATGTATAATAAAGTAAATAATTTAAAAGATCACAAAATAAAGAATTAAAACTGGTAATAAAATAACTGATTAAAACAGTTAATGAATAATTAATTAAACGTAATTTAATTTGGTAATGAAATAACTAATCAAAACAGGTAAAATGAATTGTTTTGTTAAATAAAGTATATTTTTTCAATTATAGGATATAACTAGTATGGAAGAAAAAATAGAATACCGGTTGGAAGAAAGAACCAGTGATTTGAGTGATCTAGTTGACAATTGCCAAACAAGAGTATGTATATAATGTATCTGATTAATAATAATCTTGAGGGGAGCAATAGGGATTGTAGCAATGTACCATATTGTAGGTTTTCTCAAATTAATCAGTAAACTTATCTTGATCCTAATTTTTACATACTTCAGATCTCTTGTACAGTTTTTTTACTTACATCAAAACTGCAAATCTTTATTTATTTTTAGATTCAGCGTATGGAACAGCAGCAACAGCAACAACAAATATTATCCATGGAAATGGTGGAGAATGTAACATTTCGAACTATTTTAACCAAATTAATAAATGTAGTTTTAGCATTAGTAGCTGTTATATTAGTCTTTGTGTCAACAGCTGCTAACTTATTATCTCCCTTTCTTACAACCAGGTAACGAATGATCTTATCTTGATATATTTATTTTAATAATAATCACCTTTATCCACACGTCCTACTTGGCTTAAATAATGTTGATTCTCAAATTAAAAAAGGAGGGAATTTTGATGTAGTCTTAAATGGTATTAACAGAAAATGAATGTAGATATATTTTTTCCTCCCAAAGCTAAAGATCCTGGAACACAAGCATGCCATGTTAGTCCCAATATCAGGACCAAGTTTGTTTTGAAAGGAAATATATTTTTTCTCTCTGATAGTCTCGGTTTGGCCAAATAAGTTTGTGTCAGATGTATACATAATTTACTTCTATGAGGCCAGTAATAGTTGGAAATATTGATATATGTATTGGCAATAAACTGTTATTGAAAAGTAATTGAAATGTAACTAAAATGTAATTACATTTCCATTACTCATTCATGTTTTTTTTATCATTTCAGGTTGAGAATAATATCCACCATTGTGATAATATTTGCTCTAACGCTAATTGGCCAAAACTACGACTCAATTGGAGTATTGCCAGGTTATATCTGGGACAAACTGAAAAATATATTACCATGGTGATAGTCAAATGAAAATTTTTCCTAAAGGTGACAATATATTTTTAATGAAATTGGAAGTGTCCAGTATGGATGGAACAGCAATTTTTTACAGAGAGATAATAATTTTATAACTGAAATTATCGGGACGTGTAATAAATGTCAAGTCAGAAACGAAGATGTCAATTTCTTGTGTCTGGATTGGATAAAAATCTATACAACTTTGTGATGTTTTGACCTGAAGCTGAAAATAGAAGGCATATGATTGGATAATATTTTTTTAATTGTCATTATGATTGGACGATCATTTCTTCAATCATAATTAGGATTGTGATATGTTTTCCTGTGTGTATTTTCCCTTTTTCTTTTTCGGAATTTGGAACAAGAGGCAATATATATGTGTGTATATATATTATGTACAGATTCAAGTATTTTTAGACTTAATGACATGTTAACATGTTGGATTTTCGAGGAAAAGAGTCACTATTCTGGAAGTGAAATAAACATATACACAGTGTGTTCTATTTTTGTGTTTGTATGACAAAGGTCAAGAATTGGGTATTAGCTGGCCTAAGCAACCTTTTTATGCACACAAAATCACTACATCGATAAAACATGAAATTCAGCAAGTGATATTGAATTTTGTGTATCATTCAAAGTCAAGATCACTTGCGCTGTTGGAGTTTTAACAATAGTGCATGAAAATGCTGCTGTTTGGGCAAAATTGTCTCTCTCATATTGCGCACATAACCATAGAAATAAAAATTAACTGTATGCTTTGTATGTGACCGTAACTATCTGCTTGTGTTCACGTCAGTGCAGAAATGGTTTGAATTGGGGCACATGATAATGCCATATATGGTTATAAGAATCACATGACAATGCCTTATAAGGTTATGCCTTATAAGGTTGTAAGAATTAGATGACATGTTAATATGTATGTATGTATATAGAGCTTTGTTAAATTATACAAACTTTATTTCTGTGTGTGAAATATACCTGTATATAGAAATAATTATAAAGCCATATCACTAAACTAGTTTGATATAAATACCATACACATTTCTACATTCTAACAAAAGGCAAAATAGGTAATTTATAATCATGTTGTCCTCCTGCAATGTCATTTTCAAACAGATCTGTCCTAATGATTGTAAATATGATGTAACTTTCAAATTATGATACAGTAACATGTATATTAAAGCTAGATGGGCAACTAAGATATGACAAAGAAAATATGCCATAGAGTTCACTTTCAGTCATAAAGTTTGGCAAATATTTTATTTACTAAAGTATAGTTTTCATTGTTAACGTTAATTTGCCCAAGTAAATGTGCTTAGATGGCAACACAGGTCTTCCATTGGATATTGTTTCGAACATATACATGTATATGGTTTGTTTCTGACCTGTTGTAAAATTGACTGGCAAATTAAAAAGTCAATCAATTTACATGCCTTAAATTTAGGTATTTCAACTTTAAAACCTTTAAGTTTTAACTTTAAATCACAATAAATTCAGCTAATGTTAAAATTTTGTACACCCACACTACCGGTACATGTTTTGTTTATGTTAGAGGCTAGCACTAGTAAGAACTAAAAGCTTATCAAATCTTAATTATTTTAGACAATTTTTTCATGGGTTGCTTATTTTGTTCAGTTTATAGTACAAATAATTAAACATTTGACGGCTTTTATGGACCCCTCAGTCAACATAGATGCTCTGGCCGTATGGTTCATTGCCTGGCAACCTATTTTTTTATAAATTAAGAAAATGCTTAATATTGTCACATCGGGGTGTCTGATATGACAATCCCATATATGGTCTGACCATATATAGGCGATTCCACAGGACATTTATTTCAAAGCTTTAATTATCCATTTAATTTTATTATTATCTTTTAGAATATTGTCTTCATGTTCAATCTGATTAAATTCTGAAATCAAATATGTTTTATTTTATTTGTGATATTCTAATACATGCACATCTGATATTGTTTTGGAAGCCAGTGTTAAGAACTCAGGAACTTATTGACTAATCAAAATTTCTGTATTTTTGTGGAGAATTATGGAGATTTTAAAACGGCAAGCATACACAAACAGTGCAGATGTGTTAGGATAGTTAGGGCCAGAGTTTGATTGGTTGATAGAACTCTCACAAGCAGAACACAATACCGTACATGTAGGTTAGATTGCATTAAAAGTGTAAATGTAAGAAAACAATTGTAATTTAATTTTAATTTGATTGACCTAATGTTGGATATACACATCTCTTCATCCCTTTAAAGTAAAAATTAAAGAGGGCATTATCACTGTCAGTAAGAAAATAAAATCTGATTTATTTTGATTGATATCACATCAATTTAAAATAAAAGTAGATTCACATCTTGTCAAAAATCCAAGCACTAGAGAAAGGTACGTTTTGCTCAAGCCTTTGAGCATATTGTGTTTTGATACAGTGGGTTCAGGACTTTAGGTCTTACTCTTAGGTTAGTATAGAAATTAAATGACAATATTTGAAGAAACAGTCCAAAATTTAGAGAAATAACCAAAATAGCCTTTCTGAAAGTTTCAGCTCCAAAGATTGAATGATTAAGGGTTATGAGACTCACTTAGGTGCTCAGTCAGATGGGTGGCTTGATAATTACTTACCAAAATAGGCAATTGTAGAATTTGAAAACCACACCTAGAAACTGACTGACTGTATTTCTATGAAGCATGGAGCTTCAGAAAGTTGCACAGAATTAATCCATTGGATTCCAAAAATATATCTGGAAAACAGTTTCTGTGTCTTGAGACAAATTAAGAAGGCAGTGTGAAATCAAAAGAAAACAATGTAAACTACAAATCAAATGGTGATGGGTAGAATGGATTGATATGAATAATTTTTTAGATTTAGATTATTTTTTTAATAAAAAGTATTTAGGACTGTAAGCTCTATATTGAACTTTTATTTTTAGTAAGTTCGTGTTTTATTAAGAAAGCAAATCTTTTAAAACCAATATTCTCATTCAAGACTATATTGCTTGTGCTTCATGATCAACTTCAACAAATAATCTGAAGAAAATAGCATACATTTGTGTAGTGTCAAAGATCATACATAGATTTCTTGCATCTCTTATGATTGCAGGAGAGGAATATGAGGTTCACCTTGTATTTGAATGGTAAGTGCTAAATGATAAGGCCAGCTCAATTTTTCGTCATAGGTCACGAGATGTAAACAGAGCTAGCGCTAATCCCAGCCCTAACCCTAACCCTGGACCTAGCCCCAATGCTTACCATAACCCTACCTACAATCTCACCAACAATCATGTGCCCTAACCTTATTTACATCCTGGCTACCTTGACAAAAATTGAGCTGGCCTTAACAAATAGATTTAGCCATATTTGAATATCATGCAGAATTCCCAGTTAACCTGGTATATTTACACATTTCCCATCAGTCATTACATGAACTGTATACACTACCTGCTATTTTGTTCAGACTATTATTCATTGTAGTTGAAAGAGTAGCCAATACCTGATTTTCTGCACAGTCTACATACAGTTAATTAAAAATCAGAACTTGTATAGAAGCAGCCCACCTATTGTGTAGAACTAGATATTATTTTATGAATAGTATTAAACACAGCATCAACATACTCAATTGTTTTTATTATGTACAATATATCCAAAAATGTTGGCGTTTAAACTGAGGGGCCCTTTTCGACTGGAGGTAAATTTGTGGGCATCACAAAGAAAACCTGGGTTTGTGCATAAATGAAGCTTGACGTAATGAACCTGTTATCAACTGTTTCATGAGTTTGTCTAAGAGTCACCACCACTGAGCTTGCGAATGGTGACTTGCCTCCACTAGTCAAGGAATTGGAGAGATTTGTCTGGCAAGTGTACCTTTCATCCAGTCCATTAACCCTACCAGCACTAAGACGGTAATTGTTCAAGTAAAAACAAGCCAACAGTGAGGCTGATGTCCCCCACCGAAATTCCAAAATAAATAGATGACACATATTAATTATTCGCACATTTTTTTTTTTTTCAAAAGTATCAAGCAATCAAATTCCAAAGTCTTGACCAATCAAATTCTCATCATCAAACTTAGTCAAGGTAATGATATAACGAATTTAATTAAAACCAAAGTTATTGGCCCTAAAGCATCAACCAATCAGATTGCTTATCTCTGCTAACCCTAAGCAGAAAATGCTTGCTCATCTTCGAACTCCATCAAGGCTTTCGCCTGATAAACACCTACACCAAGTTTGAACGTTCTAGCTCAATTAGAAGGAGACTTATTGTGTTCCAAAGTCTCGGCTAATCAAATTGCTTATCGTTCTGCTTACCCTGAGCAGAAAATGCTCATTATCGAACTACTAGTAAGTCAAGGTAATAATGTGAATTATCGAACTAAGTCAAGGTAATAATGTAAAGTAACTATACACCAAGTTTCGTTACTCCCACTTAAAGATACATTATGTGAGATTTTTATAGAGAGTTGGCCATTCTTGCTATAACAGTTCAAAAGTAGATGATGAAAGAAGAATATATTGAAAAATTCAGTCAAATTACTTTGAACATAGTTATCATCGTTGTAATATTTGACTAAAATGGTAGCGAAATGCGTCATCACCTTCGCCGATCGTTTGATTGACAGGCGTTAACTCCACCTACATATCTCGATTATCAAGTAAAGTTTTCAATGGCATACGGAAACTCTTTACAGCGGCCTCGCTAAGTACACTATTTAAACAACAAGACCAAAATCAACTCTGTAGACCCACGGATGGCTCGGCTACAGCTCGGATTTAAATAGGATTTCACTAATTGATTAAATCAAATAAGGGGTAACCTGATGAAAATACGTCAGTTAGATCGAGGCTAAATGATAGAGTGTATAACATCTGAAGCCTAAATTAAGACTTGCAATAATCAGATTTAATTAGCTCTTGCATAATGCATGTTTAATTAGAACTAAAGTTATCGTGTCCCAAAGCATCAACCAATCAAATTGCTTATCTCGGCTTACCCTAAGCAGAAAATGCTTATCTTCGAACTCCATCAAGACATTTGCCTAGTAAATACCTACACCAAGTTTGAACGTTCTAGCTCAATTAGAAGGAGGGTTATTGTGTTCCAAGGTCTCGGCCAATCAAACTGCTTATCGCTCTGCTTACCCTGAGCAAAAAATGTTCATTATCGAACTTAGTCAAGGTTATGATGTAATGAAACTATTATACACCAAGTTTCGTCACTCTCACTTAATTAGAACTAAAGTTATCGTGTCCCAAAGCATCAACCAATCAAATTGCTTATCTCTGCTTACACTAAGCAGAAAATGCTCATCTTCGAACTCCATCAAGGCATTGGTCGACCTAATAAACACCTACACCAAGTTTGAACATTCTAGCTCAATTAGAGAGCTACTGTGTCCCAAAATAGTGTGACGGACAGACAGACAGGCGAGGGACAAAAAAGCATGCAAGGAGAGATGCTGCCCCTGACGCGTGCTGCATATTGTTGCCCCATGTCATATTAAGAGTAAATTACATTGCCATGTGCGATAAGTCATAGGCTACGTGAACTGATCCCAGCACCTTACTGTCATTGAACAAAATGGCTGGCCGTTGGACAAAGGCATTTATGATCTTGTTCAGAAACTTGCTCTGCCTTCGAGGGGGTTGGATGGCCGAATGGTTAGCACGTGACAAGGAGTGGGGTCAGGGGCGGATTGGGCCATCGGAAGGGCCGGTCGGACAAAAAATGAAAAAAATAATTTTGTCCAATTCGTCTAAAAAACCTTTTTCTGCTGAACATTATATGGGAGGTGTGGGGTATTGAACCGGCCATGGAGCGATGATGATCATGTTGTATGTGGCAGGTGGCTTTAACGGGCCGCCATGCCATCACTGGAGTCTGGAATGGGCTGGTATAATAGACTTTCTGGGCCGGGTGTGCTGGGTGTGGGCCGGAATTCGGAATCCTGCAATGGGGATTCCGAATTCCATCCGAAAATTTTATCGGATTCACCCGACCTTGTCGCCCGCAAATTTTCTAATTATTAAGTCACCTGCACCCTGTTTGTGAGAATACGCCAGAAACGTCTGCCGATGGTTCGTATCTCCAAAAATATTCAAGTTTAAGGCCTCAGCAAAATTTGATGATAGCTGGTCTGCTTGCTGAATATGAGTGCGATACGATTACCTGGGGCGGGTGCTTAAAAAAATTCCTTGACACTTTTATTGACTCGTTATTTTCAGAGATGAAATTACAGAATTGGGATGTCGGGAATGGTCTCAAATTGCGGGAAATGGCCTCCCATTTCTAAAAATTCAAAAATGAACTGTGTCCCGTACGCCCATGCATGTCCGCTCCCACTCCGTCAAGACCACCTGTTATTCAATATTCGTAACTGGTTAATCAAATGGTAAAAAATTTCTCAACTAGTCCCATTTTTTAATCAGTTAAATTCTCTTGACTCTTGACGATACAATGATAATGTGTTAATTAATAATATGACGAAGTAGTATGGGGGCCTTTATAGGGACGCACGTGCGTGAATGTGCGTGCATGTGACCTTGACCTTGCACGTGCGTGACCTTGCACTGAATGACCCCTTGCAGGTGCGTGACCTTGCACGTGTGTGACCCCTTGCACGTGTGTCACCCCGTGACCTAGAAAAGAGAGGGGCGCGCGCGCGGGAGAGAAAGAGAGAGAGAGCAGAGGAAAGAAGAAGAGAGCAGAAGACAAAGAGAACAAAAGAAGAAGAGAGCAGAAGGGGAAGGGGAAACAACTCTGTACATTGCATAAGTTGGCCCTGAAAAGGGCCGTTGTCCTCACTAGAACGTGAGGGTTCCTTAACAGGAACACTTCGGATTTTCCGCCAAATACCTTAGCCGCTTCTGGCATTTGAGATGATGTTTCGACCTCCTATGATAGGTGTTGGAAACATCTACG